TTATTGCTTTATAGTTTAATTCCATTGTGTTCTGAGAGCCTAATTTGTATGATCTACTCCTTTAAATTTCTTTTAAGGCCCAGAATGTGTTCTGTGTTTTGTTTTGGTAAATGTTCTGTGTGAGTTTGAGAGGAAAGTTCATTCTGCCGTTATTAGATATAGTATTCTATAATGTCAATTAGAACCATTTGATTGTTGTTGCTATTCACTTCATCTATATTGTTACTGATTTTCTGTCTTCTGGATCTGTCAATTACTGATAGAGGGGTATTGAAGTCTCCAAGAATAATAGTGGATTTGTCTGTTTCTCCTCACAGTTTGGTTTTTGCCTCACATATTTTGATACTTTGTTGTTAGGCGCATACACATTAAAGATTAAGTTTTCTTGGGGAATTGACTCCTTTATCATTATGTAATACCACTCTTTATTCTGATAATTTTTTTGTTCTGAAGTCAGCTCTGTCTGAAATTAATATAGCGATTCTAGCTTTTGTTTGATAAGTGTTAGCATGGCATATCTTCCTCCATTCCTTTTTAACGTATCTGTGTCTTTATATTTAAACTGGGTTTTTTGTAGGCAAAAAGTAGTTGGGACTTTTTTTAATCTGCTGTTACAGTTTGTCTTTTAATTGGTTTGTTTAGATCATGCACATCTAAAGTGATTATTGATATAGTTGGATTAGTATCTCTCATGTTTGTAACTTTTCTACTTGTTGTACTTGTTCTTTGTTTCTTTTTTAAAAATTACTCTCTTTTTCTGCCTTCTCTAGCTTTAATTGAGCATTTTATATAATTGCATTTTCTATTCTCTTTTAGTATATTCATTATACTTAAAAAAATTGTTTTTAGTGGTTGCCCGGAGTTTGCAATATACATTTGTGACTAATCTAAGTCCACTTTAGAATAATATTATATGTTCATGGGTAGTGCAGGTACCTTATGACAGAGTATTTCCAGTGCCTCCCTCCTGTTCCTTATAACATTGCTGTTTCATTTCCCCTATCTATATATCATAACCACCCAATATATTGTTGCTATTAGTACTTTGAACACACAGATGTCTATTAGATCAATTAAGAATAAGAAGAATAAAAGATTTTATTTTACCTTCTAGTCTTTCTCTGACATTCTTTCTTTCTGTATATATGTCTGAGCTATATTATTTTCTTTCTCTCTGAAGAACTTTTAACATTTCTTGCAAGGCAGGTGTACTGGTGACAGTGTCCCTCAGTTTTTTTTTTTCAGGAAGTTTTTATTTCCCTTTACTTTTTTTAATTTTTTTTTTTTGTGAGGAAGATCAGCCCTGAGCTAACATCCATGCCAATCCTCCTCTTTTTTTGCTGAGGAAGACTGGCCCTGGGTTAACATCTGTGACCATCTTCCTCCACTTTATATGGGACGCCGCCACAGCATGGCCTGACGAGCGGTGCATCGGTGCGTACCCGGGATCCGAACCTGGGCCGCCAGCAGTGGAGCGTGCCCACTTAACCGCTATGCCACGGGGCCAGCCCCTATTCCCCTTTACTTTTGTAGGATAACTTCACTGGATACAGAATTCTAGGTTGGTGGCTTTTTCTTTCAGTACTTCAAATATTTCACTCCACTCTCTTCCTGTTTGTGTGGTTTCTGATGACAAGTCCAAAGTAATTGTTATCCTTGTTCCTGTGTAGGTAAAGTGTTTTTTGTCTCTGGCTTCTTTCAGGATTTCCTGTTTGTCTTTGTTACTTTGCAGCTAGAATGTGATATGCCTGGTGTAGATCTTTTGGTATTTAGCCTGTTTGGTGTTCTCTGACCTTCTTGGATCTTTTGTTTGATATTTGTCATTAATTTTAGAAAATTCTCAGCCATTATTGATTCTGATGTTTCTTTTTCTCCTTTTCCTCTTCTCTCTCTGGTATTTCCATTACACCTGTATTATGTCTTTTGTAATTGTCCCACAGTTCTTGAATGGTCTGTTCTGTTAGTCTTATTTTTTTTCTCCATGCATTTCAGTTTGGGAAGTTTCTATTGACGTATCTTTAAGTTTGCTGATTCTTTCCTTGGCTGTGTCCAGTCTGTGGACAAGTGCATCAAAGGCATTCTTTATTTCTCTCACAGTGTTTTTGATATCTAGCATTTTCTTTTGATTCTTTCTTAGAATTTCCATTTCTCTGCTTATATTACCTGTTTTTGCATGTTGTCTGCTTTTTATGTTAAAGCCCTTAACATATTAATCCTAGTTATTTTAAATATTATCTTATATTACAAAATCTGCATCATATCTGAGTCTGGTTCTGATGCTTGATGTTTGTCTTGCTAGTCTGTTTTTTCTTTTCTTTTGGCATGGCTTGTAACTTGGTTGAAAGCCAGACATAAACTATCAAGTCATAGGAAAAGAAGATTTAGGCTTTTAGTCTGAGGTTTTATGTTAATCTAGCTAGGAGATGAGCTGTGTTTAATGTTTTCTGTACCTGTAGGTCCAAGAGCCTTCGGTTTCCTCTCTGTCTTCTGTTGTCTTTGGGTTTCCCTAAGAACTCCTTCTTAAATAGAATTTGTCTTGCAGTTGTCTCAGTTGTAATCCACTGTCATCATATTGGAGCCCTGTTGATGTGGTGGTAAGGTGTGGGGGAGGGGAAGCATTATGTCATTTTATAGATAAATCTCGGTTTTTAATTGGCCTGAGTGTCTGGGATGACTTTCACAAGTGTTTCTTAGCCTTTGTTTTTTCTCCCCTTACTTGAGACAGGAAGACTAGGGGGGCTAGAGTTGGCAAATTGCCCTTTCCCATGGTCAGCTAAAGCTCTGGTAAGGTAGTTTGCCTTGGAGGGCAGGCCTTTGTTGTGGGGATTGCTCTGGGTGTGTATAATTCAGAGTAGTTACTTTCCCCTGGGTGTATTTAAAAATGGTTACTGTTCCCCTCCACCTGCCAGAGTCCTGAGGGAAGTTTTCTCATATCTTTTTTTTTAAATTATTTTATTGAGATCATTAGCATGTAACATTGTGTACATTTCAGGTGTACATTATTATATTTCAGTTTCTGTATTTCATGTGGAAGATAAACACACAGATAAGGAAAACAGATTGGTGGTTAGCAGAGGGGAAGAGGGTAGAAGGAAGGCAAAAGGGGTAAAGGGGCACATGTGTATGGTGATGGATAAAAACTAGTTTTCTCATATCTTCACCTTAAAAACCTCAGGGAACTCCTCAAGGTAAAACTGAGGAAAGTGGAGGCCTGCTAAGACTGAGCCTGCAGGAGTTCTTAACTCTCAGCTTCCAACTATTTGTCCAAATTACCATTTAAGTGTTCCTACCAGTTGCTCCAACAGCTTCTGCTTCTGGTAAACTGACCTCCCTTCGTGATTGTTTGTATTCACTGTCTGTCCAGGCTTCAGGCTGATGGTTTGCCCTGTGACCTCAATTCTCTGATTTAAGAAAGAAAAGTCTGTTGATTTTCAGTTCGTTCAGCTTTTTTCTTGTTGTGAGGATGGTTGTGATGACTTCTTAGCTTTTTACATGGGATGGCTGAAACTGAAAGTCCAGTGGAAGACGATAAAGTCAAATCTCCATGTCAAACCTTAATTTAATAACTAGAGGTGTTTCCCCCTTTCTGTTCTGGTAGCAGTCAAGTACACTCTTTGAAAAAAATTGTGGTTAAAAAATGCATAATGAAATTTACCATCTTAGCCATTTTTAAGTGTGCAGCTTAGTGGCATTAAGTATGTTCATATTGTTGTGCAACCATCACCACCCTAATCCATCTCCAGAACTTTTTCATCTTCCCAAACTGAAACTCTGTACACATTAAACTCCCTATTCCCCCCTTCCCCTTAGCACCTGGTAACCACCATTCTACTTTCTGTCTCTGTGAGTTTGACTACTTTAGGTACCTCATATAAGTAGAATCATACAGTATCTGTTATTTTGTGTCTGGCATATTTCACTTAGCATAATCTCTTCAAGGTCAAGGACAACTTTTAACTAGAACACTTTTTTTTTTTTTTGTGAGGAGATCAGCCCTGTGCTAACATCTGCCAGTCCTCCTCTTTTTTTGCTGAGGAAGACTGGCCCTGGGCTAACATCCGTGCCCATCTTCCTCCACTTTATATGGGACGCCGCCACAGCATGGCTTGCCAAGCAGTGCGTCAGTGCGCACCCGGCATCCAAAGTTGTGAACCCTGGGCCACCGCAGCGGAGTGCGCGCACTTAACCGCTTGTGCCACTGGGCCGGCCCTAAAGTTGATATATTTTTTTGTGTGTGAGGAAGATCAGCCCTGAGCTAACACCCATGCCAATCCTCCTCTTTTTGCTGAGGAAGACCGGCCCTGAGCTAACATCTATTGCCAATCCTCCTCCTTTTTTTTTTCCCCAAAGCCCCAGTAGATAGTTGTATGTTATAGTTGCACATCCTTCTAGTTGCTGTATGTGGGACGTGGCCTCAGCATGGCCCGACAAGCAGTGCGTCAGTGCGCGCCTGAGATCCGAACCCAGGCCGCCAGTAGCAGAGCGCACGCGCTTAACCGCTAAGCCATGGGGCTGGCCCCCAAGTTGATATTTTTTAAAGAGAAAATTAAGGCAGTATGAAAACATTTTAGTATAAGCTATTCTAAGAAAGCAGTGCTGTTTTGACAGCCATTCTGTCTCAAGCTTAGTTTTGCTTGTCTGTACAATGAGATGTCAAAATAGCTGGTATCTATATTTTATGATTTTTAAACATTTTAGGAAATCTTTCCAGAATGGGGCAAAAGCGGGTGTGACCTCACTTGCGTCTAGAAGCCTAGAGAGTGAAAATGTGAGCAGATTTGAGAAGGTTCAGGTTTGGAGGAGACCACCTCTCTCTCAGACAAAGTCCCCAGAATGGATTTGCGACGGCTTTTGTAACTACTTGTGTAATGTTACAGTGGATTTTATCTTGCTGGACTTACCTTCCTCATCTGTAAAATAAGGAGTGGGTGATTTCTTACATTCCTTTTTAGTTCTTAATTTTTTGTGTTTTATTTTATCTTTGTGCTTGACTTTAACAGGATTCTCAAAGTTGGATTGGTGGAAACAATGAACCATTGACTGGCTTTACATGGCGAGGGGGTTGCGAAAGAGAAACAACAGGCATACAAGTCTGGAATGAAGTATTTGTGATTGACAGACCTAATGGAACAAAAGTAAAATTCCATTTATACGTTTTCACTATTTTTTTCTCCTGTTTTCTTTCTTGAGCTATTTTCTGATATAAAAGATCAAAACGACACAGAACTATTAAGTCTGATAACTTTAACATATATGGATTATTATGTCAAAATATGTGAGATATTTAACTTAGAATAATTTTCTTGATTTAATTACTGATTTTGGCACTTATCATTTTATATTTGATTTTCATAGTTACTACTGGTGAATATTTTACTTAGTATTTTAAACTTTTAAATTTCTAGGTGGCTGTGCTGCTAATGGATACCCAGGGTGCCTTTGATAGCCAGTCAACTATCAAAGACTGTGCAACAGTGTTTGCTCTGAGCACTATGACTAGCTCTGTGCAGGTGAGACACAAGATGCTGTGCTATGATCAGTTCAGATGATGCTAATACCTTTCGTCTTCCTCAAAATGCCTTTTGATTGAAGAAAAAAGGATTAAAATTAGAGCTATTTACATTTCTTATTGGTAATTTACATTTCCATGCTTGCTATTCTGGCTCACAATGTGAAATTTCATACTTTGAGTGGTTACCAGTGCAGCAGTAAACCAATATCCATTCCCTTTGGTTTTTCATCATAGCATCTATGCTTTTTCTTTTTAAGGAAAAGATATTATTGCATGTTATCCTTGATTGAATTCAGGCATATGGCTGCCAAATAAAGTAAGATATAGAATATGTCTTTATTTTTTGGCTAAATCAACCAATTAAACAAAAAATCCAAGTAATTAAACTTAATTTTCTACTCGATATGTAATGACAACTAGTACTCAATTATTTGAACTAATGGAGGCAGAGACATAAGAATTAATTCATATTTAGCTTAGGAAACTGAAGTGATATTTATATAATAAACTAAGGACTTTTAGCACTTGTTTCATTTAGAAAGGGGTAAAATTCCTTCTGTTTTTCACTAATCCTATACCCAAATTGTGTTTGGTGTTCTCTCAAGTTCTGGTCTCTTCAATCTAGGCCATCTCTTTTCTGTATAATTTAGACTGATTGGACTAAAATTAACCACCACATGTCATTTTGTATTTCTTGACTTTTTCTTTTCTGAGATCATCTGTGGTTGATACTTTTCTGGCTGAAAGATGGATTATTGAAGTATGGTGTTTAGGCCCAGCTGGTGATGATGTATCAAGAAGTATATTTGCAGGGCCGGCTTGGGGGCATGGTGGTTAAGTTTGCACGCTCTGCTTCAGTGGCCCTGGGGTTCACAAGTTTGGATCCCAGGTGCGGACCTACACACTGCTCATCAGGCCATGCTGTGGTGGCTTCCGACATACAAAATAGAAGAAGATTGGCACAAATGTTAGCTCAGGGCCAGTCTTCCTCACACAAAAAAAGGATATTTGCAAATATTAAAAAAAGTATGTATTTCTCCTGGGATAAGAAATGTTTCTTGTTGATGGTGATAGGTGATAGTGCACAGTGTCTTGGAGTTTTTGTAATGCTTGCTGATAATATCTGGAACATATGACCAGTCTCTATAAGTTCCCATTTCTTTACTTACTTAATTTGAAGTATCCAACTGTCAGAGTAGAAAGAAGGTTTGGATATTATTATGAGGAGTATTTTTTAGCCTGGCTTCTGCTTGTTACAGGGCTGGGGATATCTCACTACCAACTAAATGATGCTATTGGGGATCCTCAAAGTCTCTTTTTTACATTGTATTCTCCCTCTTTTTCTCTGATCTTGCAAGGTGGTACAACTGCCATTCCCTTGAGGCAAGCAGAAGCCACATTTTAGTATTTATATTATCACATTATAGCCCTTCAGATTAGCTGGCTCTATGGCTTACCTTAAATTATAATGAGGGAGTTCTCTGTCCTGGAACTTGTACCTTGGTGTTCTCTTGTTGATTTGTTCAACCTTATGATAGTAGGAGGCCTGGTTTTGGACAACCACTTAAAAGCCACTCAGCCTTTTCTTATCTGTAAAATGAGGATTTTACCCCTCTTGCCTATCTCATATATTGTTGTATGCAGTCAGAAATGAGATCTAAATGAGATAATACGTAAGAAACTGTTTTGTAAACTATAAATCAAGAAGATTAAAATTATTTTTTGTTATTGCTTTCTTCCTGATCTTTGAAGCTGGACTTCTCTTCTTCCCTACATAAGCTGCCTGGCTGATAGATCAATGACAAATTGATCCTCTTGTCATTTATTCTCTCAACAAATAATTGTTGAGCATCTGCTAAGTACAGTGCAGTATACTAAGTACTAATGATCTAAGATAAACAAATCCTCTCCTGTCTTTGCTATTTGCAACCTGGCCCTGACAATGAAAGGATCTGGACCTATTTTCTAAAAGCAGAGGCTCACGTGGATATGAATAGGTTGGTCATGCTTTTAGGTTTTAAGTTCAAATCTAGAGTTTAATCACCTCAGTTGTTAATTACTTTTTAAGCACCCTGTTTGGATTTAGCTGAGAATATAATTTTAGGTTTGCTGGCCTATATTGGCTGTTTATATTTTTGACCTCAGAGTGATTCAGCTAGATTATCACTTATTTACTGTTAGAACAAATTGTTCTATCTTTGGAGTAACCCTATTTTATTTTTTGTTTTTAAGTTATTTTATTGAGGTCCTCTTGGCTTGTAACATTGTGTAAATTTCAGGTGTACATTATTATATATCAGTTTCTGTATAGACTGCATTGTGTTCACCACCAATCGTCTAGTTTTTATCTGTCACCATACATATGTGCCCCTTTACCCCTTTCGCCCTGCCCCCCACCCCCTTCTGCTCTGGTAACCACTAATCTGTTCTTATCCATGTGTTTGTTTATCTTCCATGTATGAGTCAAATCATATGGTATTTGTCTTTCTCTGTCTGGCTTAGCGTAATACCCTCAAGGTCCAGCCATGTTGTTGCAAATGGCATGATTTTGTCTTTTTTTATGGCTGAGTAGTATTCTGTTGTATATATCTACCACATCTTCTATATCCATTCATCCATTGATGGGCACTTGGGTTGCTTCCACATCTTGGCTATTGTGAATAATGCTGTGATGAACATAGGGGTGCATAAATCTCTTTGAATTGTTGATCTCATGTTCTTTGGAAAAATACCCAGTAATGGGATAGCTGAATTGTACAGTATTTCTATTTTTAATTTTTTGAGAAATCTTTGTACTGTTTTACATAGTGGCTGCACCAGTTTGCATTCCCACCGGCAGTGTATGAGGGTTCCTTTTCTCCACGTCCTCTCCAACATTTGTTATTTCTTGTTGTGTTCATTATAGCCATTCTGACGGGTATAAGGTGAAATCTCATTAGAGTTTTGATTTGCATTTCTCTAATAATTAGTGATGTTGAACCTCTTTCCATGTGCCTGTTGGCCATCTGTATATCTTCTTTGGAAAAAATGTCTATTCATATCCTCTGCCCGTTTTTTGATTGGATTGTTTGTTTTCTTGTTGAATTGTGTGAGTTCTTTATATATTTTGGAAATTAACCCCTTATCGGATATATGATTTGCAAATATTTTCTCCCAGTTGGTGGGTTATCTTTTCATTTTGTTCGTAGTTTCCTTTGCCTTGCAGAAGCTTTTTAGTCTGATGTAGTCCTATTTGTTTATTTTTTCTTTTGTTTCCCTTTCCTGAGTAGACATGATATTTGAAAAGGTACTGCTAAGACTGATACCAAAGAGAGTACTGCCTAGATTTTCTTTTAGGAGTTTTATGGTTTCAGGTCTTACATTCAAGTCTTTAATCCATTTTGAGTTAATTTTTTTGTGTGGTGTAAGATACTGGCCTACTTTCGTCGTTTTGCACGTGGCTGTCCAGTTTTCCCAACATCATTTATTGAAGAGACTTTCCTTTCTTCACTATATGTTCTTGGCTCCTTTGTCGAAGATTAGCTGTCCATACATGTGTGGTTTTATTTGTGGGCTTTCAATTCTGTTCTGTTGATCTGTGTGTCTGTTTTTCTGCCAGTACCGTGCTGTTTTGATTACTATAGCTTTGTAGTGTATTGGAGTAACTCTATTTTCGTAGACAAAAGTTATTTCTTAACAGAGGTGACATATGTGGACACCCACTTTTCTCCTGTGGTGGCCTAGGTCACCTTTTAAAGATCTGATTCAGAAGGACTGGACCTAGTGAGTCTTTTCTCCAATTTCCCTTCCTTGAGAGTACTTAGACCTTCTATTATCAGCTCTGGTCTAAATGCGATGGGGGAAGCCTCCTAAAAAATTCTTGGCAGGGCACCAGGGCCACCTACTGTTATTTTTTTCAGCTACTACAGGCTAGTAAAATTTTCATGTTAATAGTTATTTAGACTGATGAGTTTACTTAAGTAAAAAGAGAACTGTATTAGAGTCAATGGTATTCGAGGCACCCATCAAATAATTATGAACTGTATGTTACGATTGTACCAGGGAGGAATTTATCTTTGTAGAACTATGCCCCTCACATTCATTGACTTAGAAAAATAATTGTAGAAACAATCTTTACTTTTTTTAAAAAAAGACATCATGTCATAACATTAAAGACACTTTGAGAAGGAAAAAAAGAAACTTACTACATAATACACTTTTTTTTTGTCTGCCGCTTTCTAGGCCCCATACATGTGTATTCATGATTTTTGCGTAGTTTACCACCACTGCTTCCCCCCTTAATGTTTTATCCTGACTGTTGTTAGGAAAAAAGAGAAAATTCTTTTCATATGCCACTAGTTAAGATAGTGGCTAAGTGATTCATTTGTACTGAGGTATAAAATACCTTCATTTCCACCAGTAAAGTTATATACAGCTGAGTATTCAAAATAAAACACTAATAAAAACAAGTTTTTTTTAACAGGTGTATAATTTGTCTCAGAATATTCAAGAAGATGATCTTCAACACTTGCAAGTATGTATGTCTCAATGTATTCCAAAGTATTGAAAATTAAATTCCCACTTTATTGTGACTTTATACCTAGAAGCCTATAATATTGTAAGAAGATTGAATATTATATGACTTTAAACTGTTGTACAACTTCTTAACTGGAAGAAATTTTAATATACACCCAGACTGTTAGGCAATTAAATGCTTGGCTTTCAAATGATTTTAAAGGCTCTGACATCTAGTGGTCTGATATAGATAGAACAGCTTTACAGATGTCTTCTTTCAATCTCTTTGGGAGCATTATTTTAAATAACTTGATTTAATAGTTATTTACAGAGTATGGCAGACTTGCAATGGAAGAAATCTACCAGAAACCATTTCAGGTAAATAAGTATTTTATTATTTTTAAAAATTTACCTATGAAAAGCTATCAAGCCACCTCATCTTATAGCTCTGAAAACATGAGTATATTACAATAAACTCATTTTTAGCAACAGATTCAGCAGAGTTTAAATTAATTTATGGTTGTCACCAACGTATCAGTAGTAGGCTAATGGGATAGGAAATAGAACAAATGAATATAGATTGATTAATACTTTTACTTAGATTAAGAGGTTAATACCGTTTCTCTTAATTAGATGTTATTTAATTCCATAACTTTAGACAGTCATGTAAATTTCTTTTATATGTGATAAACTACTACAAAATATTATAGGTTTCTTTTTTGTGGTATGTTACAGGTTAAGGTTAGTCTTGTTATTCTTTATTTTGGTTTCATATAGAAAAGTTCCAGAATTTAGTATCTCTCCCCCTTCTCTACTCCCTCTATCCCCATGTGTTTTTTATTCCTTTTAAATCCCAGGTACAGAATATTAAGTCAGAAATTAACCCAGGTAGAGTTATTTGAGAAACATATGTTCTGCTTGCTTCTGTGGAATCCTATCATGACAGAGATTTAAAAAAAAAAAGCTAATTTCAGATAGTTTCTTTTTGGAAGTAAGTGTAATTTATAAGTTGACATTAGTATGATTTGGTCAGTTGTGTTATGGTAAGGGAGAATGACTCCACCCTGTTTGCTTGTCAGTCTGTGAAATCCTTCCTGTGTGACAGCATTGCTGGTTATTCTTAGCGTTAGTGGGTTTACATTGATTCTGCCTCAGTCTTGTCTGGCTCAAGTGATCACTTTCATGAAATATTTTGGGCAGGTTATAGCTTCATTTTGTGTATATGGATGAAATGTACTCTACTTGGCCTCTATCAGTTTTTCTGAATTGGGATAATTTTTCCACCTAGGGGACATTTGCCAATGTGTGGAGACATTTTTGGTTGTCACAGTTTTGGGAGGGGAGATTAATGCTACTGGCATCTAGTGCATAGAGGCCAGAAATGCTGTCCGACATACTACAATGCACATGACAGCCACTCACAGCTAAGAATTTCCTGGCCCAAAATGTCAACAGTGCTGAGGTTTAAGAAAACTAAGCATATACAAATAAAAAATTGTGTGAAAAGAGTTAGTTGGTCTAGAAGTAGGTTAGTTGATCTTCTCTTTATATGATCTTGACTTAAAATTATGATCTATATGCCCTGATATACCTTTTGTTCATTTTTTAAAATCCTGTATTACTGCTTGTGGTGACTCTTTATACACAGTGAGGTTCTCAACTGGAGGCAATTAATTGCTTGGTATAGGGGCTGGGAATGTTGTTAGTTTAGGTAGGCTCTTGATATAACTGAGCAGTATTAACCATTTGGTTACTATACCTTTTGATAAAGGTTGTTTAGGGGAGTAAGGGAGGCTTCAGTTGTTAAAGTAGTGATTTTTTTTGGTAAAATTTTGTAAGAAATGATTTCTAACTTTTTTTTTTCTGTTTATAGACATTAATGTTTTTAATTCGAGATTGGAGTTATCCTTATGAACATTCATATGGTTTGGAAGGTGGAAAACAGTTCCTTGAAAAGAGATTGCAGGTAAGCCCGTATTTGTTAGAGAGGAAAGCATAAGCACCAAGCCAGGTGAAGGCGTGGGCTGCCTGCACTGCTGCTTAGACTATAATCTCTAAATGTCATTGGAGTAAATTGAGTATCCCAAGTTACCCAGATGACTCCATCCATTATGGGTGAAAAGTAAATTGGTAGCACTCCTGCCAAAGAGGATAATGCCCTCAAATAGAAATTAAGGAACAAATATTTCTCTCCAGAATCAGCTGTCCCCTCAGTAAATCAATAGTCAAAGGACAAAAGTTTGAAGGAGACTAACTTGTTGATCTACTTAAATTGCATACATGTCTCTTTCTGGCCCAGCCAGCTTCTGAACATTTGGGGCAGGCTGGATAATATGTGTATAGATTGAACACAGATGATGTGAGACCCTTTCTCCAAGGAATACTCTCTTATAATTGTTGTTAGTACCATTGAGTCAATTCCAACTCCTACTGAGCCTGTCCACAGAGTGGAACCCTGCCCTGTCTTTTCGCACCATCCTCTCACCTTCCGGTGCTGTATCAGACAATGCTCCGCTGCTATTCCTAGAGTTTTCATGGCAAATTTTTTGGAGAGGGATGGCCAAGTCTTTCTTCCTAGTCTGTCTTAGTGTGGAAGCTCCACTGAAATATGCCCACCATGGGTGACCCTGTTGGTATTTGAAATATTGGTGGCATGGCTTTCAGCATCACAGCAACACACAGCCACCACAGTATGATAGCTGACAGATAGGTGGTGTGGTTCCCTGACCAGGAAATGAACCTGGGCGGTGGTGGTGAGAGCACCAAATCTTAACCACTAGACCACCAGGGCTGGTTACTATTCTCACAGAGTGACAGCATATAGAGCTAGAAGAGGGATCTTAAACATCATCTAGTTCAGTCTTCTTTATATATATATATATATATATGATGAAATTAGAACCCAGAAAAGTCACTTGCCTTTGGTTACTTAACTAATTATTAACTGGAACTAGGACCCAAACATCCAGATTCCTGGTCCATGCAATATGCCACACCAAGGTTTCCTGGAAAAGAACTTCACCAGTATGATCCTTTATTCCTAAAGGGACCCTCGCACGGAAGTACTTGGGAAACCCTCAGGTCAGATACTACCCATCTAGTCACATACACAAAAGATACATAGAAGTCCCTTTATTCATAAGTAGGAGGGTTCTCTCTTTTGGTCAGTAAAATTTTGTTTGCCTGTGGGATGATGCATTTAGTTTTTCAATGATGGTCAAAGACTTGGAGTACAATATAATTTTCTTATTCCTAAAATGAGATTAAAATCAATTCCTCATTCTTAGATTGTTTGAAAGGCATTTCCAGACACTACTGTCAGAGATAATTTCAGTCATCAGAGTTTTCTCTGGTTTGTTCAGAAGAAATTAACACAAAGCACATCAGGCATACTAACTAAACTCAGTTATGGACTTCAAAGAAAAGGTTTTTTTAATGTCTTATTGAAGTGATATAGAAAAGCGCTCAAATCATAAGTGTGCCGCTTGATGAGTCTGTACAAACTGAACAGAGAGCCATGTAACCAACACCCAGAAGCACCCACCTCCATCCACTAACTCCCCAAACCCTCCACTGTATCCTGACCTCTAATAGGCTTTGTTTGTTTTTGGACTTTTTATGAAAGAAATCACATACAAGATGTATTCTTTTGTGTCTGGCTTCTTTTGCTCAATATTATGTTTCTGAGATTAATCCATATTGTTGCATGTAGTTTAGTTCATTCGCATTCTTATGCAGTATTCCATTGTATAAATAGATAACGATTTTTCCGTTCTACTCTTGCTGGAGATTTAGGTATTTTCCAGGTTTTGCTGATTACGAATGGTGCATGTTTTTTCAAATGGTTTTTGAGAAGAGTCTTTTGGGGGAGAATATGTGAGTTATATTGGGATAAGTAGTTATTAAAAATCTAAGTTTAGGAGTTTTGTCCAGAAAATACATACTAATGTCTCTTCCCAAAACACTGATAAGTAGCATAAATCATCAGTAATCATTTGGAGTGAGTACTGAAATCCTAACAAATTTCTGAGGTTCTTTGTACTGCACTGGAGCTTTTCACCTTAGCTGTTATTTTGCTCAGGGCCTGGCCTTTTTATTTGTAGACAGATTAGTACTTTGTTTTTTTCTTTGCCATTATAAGTACTTTAAAGGCAAATTCTTAATTTATTTACTGGTTTGTAAATCACAACCACAACTTGGTATTCTGGTGTTCAATATTATGATTAATTATTATTTGTATTTTTTCATATCCTTGGCAGGTAACATGGGAAAAAAACATCTATTCTGGTTTAAGGCAAAGTGGGGTTTTGCCAAAGTGGTCAGAAATGGGTCTTTAGTAAAAAATTTTATGTTGTCAAAAAACACCCATGTGGAGTAGCATCTGAATTAAGTGTGCATGCATGTGATTATGTGTGTGTTTTCTTTAAAAACTTTTTTTTTCTCCTGTTTGCACCTTCATCCTGTCTCCTTCTGCCTTCAGGTAAAACAAAATCAACATGAAGAGCTACAGAATGTAAGGAAGCACATTCATAATTGTTTCTCAAATCTTGGTTGCTTCCTTTTGCCACATCCTGGTCTTAAAGTTGCAACTAATCCTAGTTTTGATGGGAGATTGAAAGGTGGGAATTCTCATTCTTGCTAAAATCAGAACTTATTTTTTAGAGGCTGAAAGTTTTTAAAAAATACATGGTTCCTTAAATTTTCTGTCTTATCCTGGAGGACATTTTGATGCATTGTTAATGATGTGATTGTAATGCTCTGTGTAGTCTTTCTAGCTTTTCATTGGTTTGTTGCAAACACTAGCATATGGATTAACATATTTTATAATGTGGTCTGTTGCTCAGCACTGATGTCCTAAAAATTCTGAAGCTGAGAACATTTCAGTTTTTCCTCTGATTGCAATCTGCTAAAAAGCTTTACCAATATATTGTGTTGATATAATCAAATTTAAGTCTCTTTGTTTCAGGGGTGATAGTATAATTTTTTGCGTATGTTGTAGAATTATTTTGAGCATGATGGCAAAAGACTTGAGGATTGATAAAACTTTTATAGTATGGCTGGAAAAACAAAATCTAGTAGTAAAATTTAATATAATTTCATGAATTGTTTGCCTTTTGAAAAGGATAGTTAATACTTAATGTGGAATTTGCTTTGGTAGTTCACAATTTGTTTTATTTATTATTTGAACTGAAAGAGTCATTGGGGGATGAGGGAAATGGGGTAGTAGAGTAGGGGGGATTATATTTTTTCCTAGGAGATATGACGTATTTGGATGCGTTTTTTAAAATGAATCTCTTTAAGTAATGGATACTGTGTACTCTTATTTCATGAAACAGAATTTTATGAACTCTTACAATGGGGACTGCTTTACCTTTTTTTTTTTTGGACTCATATGTTGCCTAATTTTATGTCCACTAGATATTGATGAAGATTTTAAACGAGAGCTTCGAAATCTGGTTCCATTACTGCTTGCCCCTGAAAATTTGGTAGAAAAAGAGATAAGTGGATCTAAAGTCACTTGTAGAGATCTTGTAGAATACTTTAAGGTAGGAAAACTCTTACATTAAATGATTTTGTCTAAGTTAGAACTATAGCTGACTTAAAACTCATCTTTATGTACAAGAAATTTCTTACCATTATTTTAAAGTAAAATTTATTTTTCTGGCTTGAATTGGGTGTATCCATATTTAAGGGTATTTAAGATTGTAGCAGACAACTTGTATCTTCTAGACAGTAATTTTATTTATATACAGAATTATCCTACTTTTTCTCCAGCTCTGATATAGAGAGAAGAATCATTCATGATATTATTGTAATACCATCATTTGTGAATGATAATATTGGGAGCATAATTCTGCATCTTGAATTCTCACAAAAGCCTTCTTTCAGATTTCTGAGGACTTGATAAGTGCTGAAAATATCAAAACTCGTTTCTGAGCTCAAGTAAATTATTCATAGATTTTTTTTCTCTGCTCTTCTCTAGTTTTTATAGCTTGCTTGCCAGAGCAAGACCATTGTAGAGGGGTGTATTTATTCGTATATTTATAGAGATGTGGAAGGGAAAATACATTTAACTAAGAGTGTATTTTCGGTCATTTAATGGCCACTTGATCACTTTATTACTGTCTTTGTTTAGTTATGAATTAGAGTCAGTAGAAAGTTGACATGAAAGATTCCTATATGGACTTAACTGAAAACTCCCATCTTTCCTTCTTACTCTTAACCCACAAATTAGGTAGTTTTTTTTCTTGAACTGAATTTAAGCTAGTCAAAGTAAAACACTGAGTTAAAATGTTTGCTAACTTATTTATTTGAAACATTAGCAGTAGGGAAGAATTATGGATTTCTTTTCATAAAGTGGATGGCATTTTATATATAACTTTTTTTTTTTTTTTTTTGTGAGGAGATCAGCCCTGTGCTAACATCTGCCAATCCTCCTCCTTTTTGCTGAGGAAGACTGGCCCTGGGCTAACATCCATGCCCATCTTCCTCCACTTTATATGGGACGCCACCACAGCATGGCTTGCCAAGCAGTGCATCGGTGCGCGCCTGGGATCCGAACTGGTGAACCCCGGGCCGCCGCAGTGGAGCATGCGCACTTAACCACTTGCGCCACTGGGCCGGCCCCTTATATATAACTTTTAAATATGAGATACAACTTTTATGCAAGACGGAATTATGTTTAGAAACATTTCTCTAGGATATTATTTAGCAACATATGCATTTAATAATGTTGAAAATAAAGTTAACTTTGTTGGAATGAGAGTGTATGATTTTTAAAGCCTAGACTTTCCTTTTAATAATGTGAGTCATTTTATATTTAATGATTTTTCTTTCTTTGGGGATATAGAGCCAAATTGCATAACCTACCAGTATAATGAGTCTTCTGTATTTTTAGGCTTACATTAAAATTTATCAAGGAGAAGAACTTCCACATCCAAAGTCCATGCTTCAGGTAGTGTGTGCGTTGTACATATATTTGTTTATGAAGGAGAAAAAATCTTTGCTTTAGAGATAAATCCTGGAAATGGGGTAGTGCTTCTTTGCATGCAAATAAATTTTAGATATTTAAGGTAACACATGTCATGGGTCCTGAAGTTTTTCTGTTTATGTGATGTTTTTTGTAACTACAGAGTGCTGACCTTGCACACATATAAGCTGCCAGAAATGAGTCCTTGGTACCTTCTTTTCAGTTGCTTGAAAAGTGTAGGAAAATTTCTGTTGCAGAAGATAGCTTAATATGGGCCTCTCTGAACCAAGCTTCTTCTGTTCTCTGAGTCTTTGACAATGAATGTTGTTTGAAATAAGGCTTATTTTCTCTTGGTATTAATGGTTTAGAGCTGCTTCTAGTGAATATAGGTTTTTCTTTTTTCTTTTCTTTTTTTAAATGTGTTCTTTTGGGACAGTGTTATTTAACCTAGTTCATATTGTGTAAGATTTGCTACTTCGGGCAATTTCTCAGTCTTATAGTGGATTAAACAGTGTTTTCTCATGAAACTCACACAGTAAGCAGTTTTGTGGATTTAAAAATGTCTCTTGTCTAATACCGATTATGAGAGAGAGAACCATATGAATAATTCTTGATTCTTTATATCTGGAGACTTGACATATTTTAGGGTGTATCTTTTTAATTCTCTGTAATTTCCTGAGCATATGGTATTTTCTACAAACCCATTTTAACAGACCTAAGCAAAGCAGCATCAGGCAGGCAGTCCTATTAGAAGCAATTATATCCTTTATTCTGGTGTTCCCTTCCATTGGAAAGGAAAACTGGAAGTTGACGATATTTTCTGTGGTTCATTTTCAGACTTGTTCATTGTATGTAGTTCATTGTGTTAATGAGAATTTATAGAGTCATCAGGTATTTTTTGCATAAAAATGGTACATTTTATTTTTTAGGCAACAGCTGAAGCTAATAATCTTGCTGCAGTAGCAGGAGCAAGAGAGATCTATTGCAAAAGTATGGAACAGGTTTGTAACTGAAATTTAAATTTGACATAGAGTGAGGTAGAAGATTTTTATATTTAAAATAATTGCACTAATTTTTGCTCCTTATGTATTGTTATGTTACATCATTCCCTAATTCCCTTTTATCATCTCTGCTGGAAATAAACTAAGAAAATAATTTGCATGGTTAGAGTACAAGATACAGGTGGTAAGTTATTACATAAACTGTACTGAAATATTTTCTGACATATGATTCAGAGTGCTGCTATTAGTAGCTTCTGATGTAAGTAACGTTAGCTTAAGGCCAATAGCAATTTCTATGCTAAGCTTGCTAACTTGAACATTAAAGTACCTTTTTTATGTGTTATCTTTTACCCACTGTCTTGCCAGCAGTCTTTTGTACTCTTACGGTGTATTCGTGGGTCAAGTGAGGTCAGGGACAGATTACAGTGTAATTTTTTTTTTTTTGTCTTTACTGGTATTAGTCATGTTTGGAAAATTTATTTGCCTGAGTCAGTTAAACATATAAGAAATAAATAGATTATATATGAGATGTTATGAGCAAGTTTCAAACTGAACTGTGTAGGTGGTTTGACTTTTTGAGAGTGAAAGCTGTGAGCAAGGAACTTCTTTCAAGTGTAAATTATTTCTAGCATGTAATCTCTCCTACTGTAATCCTCTCTACAGGTGTGTGGTGGGGACAAGCCTTACATCGCACCCTCAGATCTGGAGCGAAAACACCTGGATCTCAAGGAAGTGGCGATTAAACAGTTCCGTTCAGTAAAAAAAATGGGTGGAGATGAATTCTGCCGTCGTTATCAGGACCAGCTTGAGGCTGAAATTGAAGAAACCTATGCAAACTTTATAAAGCACAATGATGGCAAAAATATCTTCTATGCTGCTCGCACCCCTGCCACACTGTTTGCGGTCATGTTTGCTATGTATATAATCTCAGGACTGACTGGCTTCATTGGCCTAAACTCTATAGCCGTCTTGTGTAACCTTGTCATGGGGTTAGCACTGACATCTCTTTGTACTTGGGCATATGTTAAATACTCTGGGGAGTTCAGAGAAATTGGAACAATGATTGATCAGATTGCTGAAACACTATGGGAACAGGTTGGTATCTATCTTTCTATTTTTTGCTTTTTCCATGACTAATCTCCTCCCTGTGATCCCCCCACCCCCCGCATTATTTGCACACCTACTTTTCCTTTATATGAGGAATGTCAAAAGGATGTTTTATGTTTTGTTTGGATGTATAATCTTTATATAAAGTATGAATTGAAGAGTTCTTCTTTTCTTTAAAGTCATAATTATAGTGTGCTTTAGTTGGCTTAAATTTGTAATATCCTTTGGATAGATTCTTAGTCATAGGTTTGATTATACTAGACAATGGGCAGGGCCAGACTCTCTAAGGATTTTTTTCTTGGAGAAAAGAAAATACAGTCAATGAAAGTTATGAAGGTAAGGAAAAGAAGTTTGGAAGTGCAATGCTTTAGGAAAGCAAAAGAAGTTTCTTAATAATAATGGCAAGAAGCAATGCATACTTATACTCCAGGAAAAATATTGAATGGTATTCAGTTCTTCATTGCCTTCTATGAAGATAGTGGTTATTTACTGATGTACTGCAAGGAACAATCCTATAGGGATTTCTTACACCAAAGAAACTTTGACCTCTGTGCTATGGAAATACTAATGAACAAAGCAAAGCTCCACAGAAAACCAACTTCTCTTAATCGTAATCGTTTACCTCAACCAGAATTCAAATCATAATCTATTACCTCAAACCAGAATTCAAAGTCGGACCTGACAAGTATCTACTAAGGAAAGCCATGTTTTGTGTTGGCCAACTGTGTGCTAGAATTGCTTGTGTTCAGAAAATACCATTTAAGGATGTTGTCATTAAAATGATCTTTGGGAAATACTTGAGCATCATGTCAAGGACCAGAATGAAAGCTACAGTAGTTACTGATGGACAGTATAATAGCCATTTTCAGATACCATTTCTGGGCTGATGAAGTATTGGGCTTATTTGAAGATCTAGGATACGTAGGTCCATGTTGGTTTTGGCTTTAAATTCAAAGGCTGAAGAAGTAAACCGTTTTTTGAAGAAAGTTGATTAGATGTTGACTTTTCTTGTAATAATGTCATTATTATTTTATAAAGTGACCCACTATATTAATTTGGATTTTGTATTTATTTTTTAAAGAAATGCTCTATTCAGATCTGATTTGGAACCTTGTATTTGGATATTTGTTAAATTTAAACTTTTATCTCAAAAAAACCTCGCTGTTTGTATGCCTTTGATATCTTCTAGTAGAAGATGGATTAAAAGCTTTTACAACCTCACTTTTTAAGAAAATAGTCCCTACTTTAAAATTTTGGACCATTACTAATTTTCTGCAACATGAATTTCAATAATTGTACAATGTCTTCTTTTGAAAACCAGTCATCTCCTATACAGCATTGATTCTAGGATTTTAGAGGTGCCATTATTACAAAACAATTAAATGGAAGAATCTAAAGTGTAAAATTATTTTCAGTATAGTTGAGGCAAGGTGAGCGATAGTCAGAGAAGATCTGTGCTGTGTCAACAAACCTTTTCTAAATTTTTTTGCATTTCTCTTTTTTTTTGCTTCAGAGGAGTCCCAGGAAGGTGAGAAACCTACAAAGTCTCAAATTCTTGTAGTCTTAAACTCTTTAACTTCAAGGCACTCTGAGTCATTCTCCTAACCAATCAACTCCATGTTTTAGGTGTTTTCCAAACTGTTTGAAGTTACTAGACGTCGAATGGTTCATCGTGCTCTTTCATCAGCACAGCGACAGAGACTGTCATCCAACAATAACAAGAAGAAAAATTAGACAGTATTTTTAACTTTTTTCTCTATCTGAAGTGTTCACACTTATACATGTAGGACAGTAAGCAGGACCGTCTGGGCCGGTCTGCATAAATGCTGTATACATACCAGATTTGATGCTGCATATAGGGTATGGAATTGCACATCCATCTCATAGGAATTGTAAATGGTTTGAATAGGAGGGAAGTAATTTTTGTTGCGTTATAAAATGTCTAACTGCATTATTTGTAGCCTCATAACTTTTTTTGGGAGAAGCATCTTTTTATTTCCCACATTCCTGGTTATTTTCTTCATTGCTTTGAATTGAATTTTTATATCTATTTTTATATGTAACTCTTTTTTTACCTCATGTTTTTATTTGTTTTGCACATTTCTCATACCACAGGTATTGAAGCCCTTGGGTGATAATTTGATGGAGGAAAACATAAGGCAGTCTGTAACAAACTCTATCAAAGCAGGCCTGACTGACCAGGTGTCTCATCATGCCAGATTAAAGACAGACTGACAGTTCATCTCCTCATGGACTCCACTCTCCCTTTTTTCATGCTTGCTGTACAATGAGAACTCAAATAAAATAAACCAAAGTTTACAATCAACTGTAGAAGTAGTTTAGTATAACTGGCTTCACAGATGGCTGCCACAGAGTGTGAAAATTGTTTGTTGGTTTTAAGCATTCTGTTCATGGCTCCTAAGACATGGAGATTGGCTGAGGAGCGTTACTTTATCATGCACATTTGTGCCATGTTTAATTCTTTTTTTTTTCCTTTTTACTTAATCTAATGTCAGTGAAATTTGTCTTATGTAAAAGGATATTTCAGGGAAATATTTTAAGAAATCTATTTAGAGTCTCTTTAACACAGTGTCCCATTGAAATTTTAATTTTTAGAGAAGTTATGAATCACTGTATCAAGAATCAGATTGGAATGACAATAAAGCCTTTATTGAGCCACTACATTAAAAGTATATATTGCTTTACTGCCTTCAATACCAGTATTACATAAATGCATGTATCAGAAACTTCACAGAAATTACATGACAACTGTCGTAGCTAAGAAAGTGATTCTGAGATGTACATTTGTCTTGCCTTTTTCAATTTATAAATCTGCCCTAAAAGGAGATGCATATCTGGGAAACTGAACTGTTTTTATGCAGTTTAGCCTTCATGTACATAAAATATGCCATTAATTTTATTGGGGGAGAAATTCCATCCAAAAATGTTGCCTACAGCTATGAGTTAAGAGTGTCTGTACATTGTGTAGCTTTTATTTTCTAAAATCACAGATAGGGCATGTATATGAATTATAAATATATAAATACAATTTTGTATTAAAAGTTTTGTAGTTTATGGCAAAATCTGGTTCTGTGGTAGGCTAATAAGTACAGTCCCTGTGAAGAAATGTTTGTGGCTCATGTCAGTGTGTGAATGCATAGACAATTTGAAGATTTTGATATATTTGTGATATTTATCTCCTTGAGCACTGCAGTCTCACCCCCCAAGGGAATTCAATGGGAATGTTTATCGTGACTTTGTCTTCTGTTGCATTTTAAAGTTATTTCCTGTAATTTATTTTCAGTACATAATTAAAAATTTGTATATATAAAATGAAACTTGTGATTTTTTTTTAAGGAATTCAAGTATGTATTCCATTGCATAAACCGTATTTGTTTATACTGAAAAGAGCATGAGCAGGAAACACCCAAGTGTGGGCTCTAAGGTATTGTACCTCGAAGCTAAGCCTGTGAAAAGTTATTTTTCTGTGTCTGTCTCTGTTAGGAAAAAATTTGTTGTGATCAGCCTAGGTGTAGCTGGGGATTTATTAATTTCTTTTCTCTCTCTCTCTGTGTTTTTTTTTTTTTTTTTTATGGTATATGTAAAGCTAACATTTTTTGAAATACTTTTGTAGCTTTCTTTATGAACACCTATTAAAGCACCTAGTTTGGTTTTTAAGTGAAGAAAATTCAGATGTTGAGTTGCATGCCTGAAAGCTCTAAATTTACTTTAGTTGATATAGTCCCCCTTCCCCCTTTCAAATCTTGTTTTTATATGCATTGTGTTTGTTTACATCTGTGTTAAATTGCTACCAACTCATCTGTTCTTAAACATAAAGAATCCACCTGAAAAGTGTGTCTCTTTGTTTCTTCTACCACCTTGTTTTATGAATGCTGTGGACTGTTTTTATGAATGAAAAAATAAAAAGTTTGTTGTATAATAGTAGTTCTTCTGAAATTAAAGACACATAGCTTAATTTTTTTTTTTTTTTTTTAATGAAAGACTTGTGAAATCTAGACCATTGGATTTCTTAGAATTTCTTGTTGGGAAGTGTGAGTTTTCCCCAAAGAAGATATTCTATGAAGGATTCCAGGAAAGCACTTTGGTTTCATCAGGAAGACTCTGAACATTGTTAAGCAAGAAGTAATAAAAGGGATTAAAGACAAACTCAAAACTGTTGACTAAAATAACTTTGGTGTTACTGTATTTTCTGTGGTATAGTTTTTTTAGTAATCTGTAGTACAAGATAGGTTTTTTTTTAAAGAAATACTTAATGATAAATGATTTACTAATTAAGACAATTAACTTTTGTGTAGGGGGCAATCATTTGTGACCCTTCTATTGAGTATGCTTTATGTATTTCTCATGAAGATAACCTCATCATCCTTGCTTCACCGAACATATTGTATTTGTAGAATTGAATAGCAGTATTTAACTCTTGAGTGTTATTTTTTCAGAGAACTCTGAGCTGGGCTTGCTGTAGTCATTTTACTTCCAGAATTGGGCAGCCTTGGCATTTCACCCTTGCTGTAGGTAGGAGTGCTGTTGGTATTAGTTAAATTGTTTCATTATGCGACTAAAATAAAAATTCTGGTCATAACTTGGTTAAGAACCTATTAAAAATATACCATAAATTTTCAGAAAACACTGATGTTGCTGTTAGTGGTCTATATAAGTATTCAAAACGGCCTTTCAGAAAGTCTTTTTAAGCAGTTGCTTAGCCTTTTAACTTGAGAATTGGCTTTTTGATTAGCTGCTTATCTGCTGGGGTGGGTTGCTTGGGTGTGTTGTACATACTTTTAGGCATCAGCAGTCTTAATCATGACCTGAACTTCCCATACTTTGACCAGAATTAATCTGTGCACCTAAGTGATTTTCCATTTGTGTCCTGGTTGTGGAGTGATGATGAAAATCAGCTTGGAGAGCTGGCTGCCATCTTCTCACTTGGCCAGAGTTTACTAATCTCACTGGGTTTAGTAATCAAATGACTGTATTACTTAGATTCGGTCTGGAGCCTGTGTCATAGAACTTAACTTTGGGGAATCTTCCAGTTGGCTGCTGGGCAAACAAAGCTAAATTAGGGTTTTCCCAAGCAGGACAGAGAATTACCACCTTCTCTACCTAAGTCTTATGTCAGATCCTAGGAATTTCTCCTCTCCTTCAGAATTGCAGTTTGCTGGAGTTTAGGCTGAGGAATTGATCTACCGTTGACATACTTCAGTGCAGTACAACTCCTATTATGTTCTTTTAGGTTTGTGACTTTTGAGGCTCTTCAGAGCCAAAGCTAGCAGTTGACCAGGTCAAAGGTACCTATAGATATGTATAAGATGGCTTAGGAGAGGGGATCACAGCCTTTGTATAGCTCAGTGAAGCACTTGGACGTGTATTAGCACTTTTCACGCTCACAACAGTCCTGTGAGATAGGTAGGAAACCACTTGATGAAAAAAGATGTCTCAAGTATCTCAGGCTTGCAAACCCAGGACACTACTACACACCTCCAGAGGTCTGAATCGGTATGAAGTTTGAGAGACAGATGAGTAATGTCGCTAACTCAAGATGAAACCTCTGTGTCGGCTGCGTTCTGAAAAGCACTAAAAGGTGGAGAAAAGATTTTGTTAATACTGAAACAAGGTGAAAATCACCCATAATATTACATTTAAAAAAAATCATGAAACAAGAAGTGAAAATTTTCCTGTCCTTTTGATTGTGTACCTTAGAGGTAAACATTATTTGGTGTGTGTGCTATTGAAATCTTTCCTGTGCTTATTGACACGTCTATATGCTTGAAACATACTCTTGATTTTTATTTTATACAAAAATAGAATTCCCCTGTATGTGATTTTTTTTTCACAGAACATGGGCATTTTCCTAGGCTGTTAAGTAATTCTTTAATGTTCACATGGTTGCTTTGATTATTCTGAGGGTAGATGAGGTTTTGAGGAGAGAACACTAGACTTTGGATTGCTGCTAACAGTTTTCTTAATGTTACGACAGTTTTCCCCCTACTATAGGATCGGTGAGAAAATCAAATAATAACATGTGAAGAATGCTTGGGAAGCAGGTACAGGAATAGAAAATTTGTGCTGTCACTTTTGCTTGTCTTAAGGCTCCATCTATTTAGCCAATAGTCCGATGACTACTTTCTGAAGCTTGTCCATAACTATTTTTTTGAAGGGGGTCATTTGGACTGTTATTTAAGAATTTTTTTTTAACTTTCTGAGAAATAAGTTTATATGGTAAACAACGAAGTCATTCTGGAGGTAAATGGATCTATAGCCACTGACAGAGTAAGAAAAAAGAGGTCGTGTAAAATAGCATAGTTTGGACTTGCCAGTCACAAAACATGAATACTATCTAAAAACTTGTGTAACCCAGAACTGGAAGAATACTTAAATTTCAGTTTCAGGAAAAGGAGATGGACCTTGGAGTTAAAATGGAGCTTTGATTCCAGCGTCACCACTTCCAACCTTTGTGAACTTGGATAAGCGCTTATGTTAATAGCTGAGCCTCAGCTTCTGCATCTGTAAAATGGAGATAATATTTGCCTCTTGGAGTTGTCAGGAGGATGAGATGACAATGTATATCAAAATCCTGGTTGACATTCTTTTGAATTCCTTTTATGGGGATGATATTTGTGGAAAATACATTTATCTTCCAAATCATACGTACTTTTAATTTTACACTCTCTGCTTCCTGAAGAGAATAAACATGATGAATCTTGGAGAGTGGTGGTCATCGCTATTTTGTCTATGGAGAAAAGCAATATCAGTAAGTTCTTTTCCTTGACTGGATTAGACTCCTTGGAAAGAAACCATACTTTATGCGTTTTTTAATCTTTCACATTATCTGGTATTTTTGTGCGTGGTAAATGCTCAGAGTTTTTAACATGGGCAGGACTAGTAAGCTTTATCCCCTTCACTCACCTTTCTTACTCATATATATAAACCATCTACTATGGGTGAGCTAGGTAGTTACTTGGCAATTGTGGGCTCCTAAATTATCAGTGGTTGCATTTTCTCCCTCTGG